TCTGTTAAAAAAAAAAAAAAAACGGTGACAGAGCCAGCGAGAAAAGAACCGGTTTAGTCCGGTTTAATTGGATTTATGACCAACTGATTCCTTTTGGCTTTTAGCCTTTTACAAAAGCAAATTTTTTTTTTTTACAAAAGCAAATCAATTTGCTAAATAGGTAAATTATGGAATTTAATTGGGTAAATAACTTTTTTTTGTTTCTGGTCTTAATTATTTAATATATATTATGAGAATTATTACATAGATGATTTTACGATTTTATCTGTTTACAAGAATCTACCACTATCAGTTTTTTCTATATTTTATTTGGGATTAACAATTTTATTTTAAGATTATGAACCTTTTGTAATTTTGCATCCGTTAATCGCATTAAATTATAATTTTTAAGAATCGAACTACTTACTTTATGGTGTAAAAACATGGGAAATTAATTATATTATAAAAATAATTAACTATATTTGTTTAAATAACTGACTATTGTCAAAAATATTTTCTTATAGTCAACTATATATTGAAATCGATAGAATAGATAAATATGCTCTGAATAGTTAACTATATTTTTTTAATTTACAAATAGTATGCGTGGTTAACTATGTTATTAAATAGTTAACTATTACAACATATTTGTTATTTGTTTAGTTTTGTCATAAAAATAGTTAATTATATTTGTTTAAATAACTGACTATGTCAAAAATATTTTCTTGTAGTCAACTATGTATTGAAATCAGTAGAATAGATAAATATGATCTGAAAATAGTTAACTATATTTTTTAAATTTACAAATATTATGTGTAGTTAACTATGTTATTAAATAGTTAACTATTACAACATATTTGTTTTTTGTTTAATTTTGTCATCTTTTGATTTTTTTTTTTTTAGTGCAGAACACACATCTACTTTTTGCAGAAATACAATCGCAGGAGCAATTTCGAGTGATTAATTCAAGAGAAGATTGTTAGGGATATTTTTAAAGGGATTTTTATTATTTTCCTTAAAAAAGTGATTGTAATATCATAGTTTTTACTACTTTCCCTAAACAATTTTTTAAGGGCAAATTTGTCCAGATTTTCTTTCTCAGATACCTAAATTTTATTATGCACATAGTAGTTACCTAAATACCTACCCCAAAACTATTATTAAGCTAATTAACCCTAAAAAACATTAATGAACTACATACCTCATGGTATAAAAACATTAATGAAATAATTTTAGTGAACAAAATGTTATGTAGTTTTAATGAATAATTATAAAAATTGGCAATATTTTCAGATTTAGGTGTTTGAATGTTCTTTTAATAAAAAAAAAAAACTAGGCCATATTATAAGAACTAGCATAACAAAATCATTGGAATAATTGGCGTATTTTTATATCAACTTTACCACTTCATTCTTTATAAAATGGCAAATTTTCCCAATCACCAAAGAGTCAAAGACAGAGTGTGATCAAATCAAATCAAAAATAATTGTTCTCTTAAAAAACCAAAAACATTAGTTGTAGTTTTTGCAAATAACAGATCATATTATCTTTCAAACTATTTCGGATAATTTTGAGAGAAAAAAAATTCATAAGATAAGATATAAATTTGAAACCAAACCCTAAACTTAGAAATCCACACTGCCTTATCCTAAACAACAGCAACAAAAATCCAGGTTTCATGACTAAAAATATAAAGCTCTTTAAAATCTTTAGGTTTTCACCTTAAAAGTCAACATTTTGAACACAAACTTGAAAACTTGTTTCTTGCCATTAAAGCAAAACATCAATATGAACTCAGAAGAAGATGTGTTTAGTTTCATCACCGTGCTTGGCCTCGCCGTATTCATCGGTCTTTGCATCTTGCTCATTGTTCTTATAGCAACTTCGGCGATCATTCTTGTAATCTACGTAATCATTGATTGCATTCTCCGACCATTCATAGGAACATGTCTTGACCTAGATCTCGAAATCGGTGTACAAAGAGGCCAGCAACGAGCTAGAATCGTGACTTACCACGCGATATTCCCTACCGAATTTCGATTACCAAATTCCGGGATCATAGAAGAGAAAAGAAGACGAGGGTTGAGAAAAAGCGCGATTGAAACCCTACTTCCGAAGTTACTTGTTGAACAAGATAACAACCACGAAGAAAACGAAGATAGGTCAAGAGAATGCGCGATTTGTCTTAGTGGTTATGTCGCAAACGAAGAATGTAGAGTGTTTCCGGTTTGTAGACATATGTATCACGCAATCTGTATCGATGCTTGGCTTCAGAATCATCTTACATGTCCTATTTGTCGTAAAGATTTGCCAGATTCATGACCAAAAAAACCCTAAGTTGTGTAAGTTGTAAATAGATATTTTTATCTTCTTCAAGAGATCTCTAAATGGAAACCCATTTGCTAATCTTAACTCACATTAGTAAGAAACAGAACATAAATGTTCTGTAAAATACAGAGGATTTGTAATTGTATTAATCTAATGTATATGATTTTTATGTTTTGTTTCGCCAATAAGGTTTTGTTGAAAAAATTGTGTTTGTCTGTCGGTTTAGTTTTCGGGATATATTATAGTTTTGTGTTCTTTGATGCTACCAAAAATACCCCAAAAAAACAAAACAAGCATTATCATGTATAAACAAAAGGGAAATTGGGTTGAATAACCCAAAAAAAAATCTATAATAAAAAATCTAATCATTTAACCTAATCATTTAACATATGTTAATTTTTGTTAGATTCCTAATTATTAATGTTGTTTTGTTAGTGAGCAAATTAACCCTAAACAAAATAACCTGTTGAAAAAAAAAACAAAAAAAGGCCTAATTAATAAGACTTAAAAAAAACCTAATTAAAAGTAATCAAATCATTCATCAACACAAATAAAACTGGAAAAACAAAAAACAAAAAACAAAAAGTCATGAAAATTTTCATCAAGCAAATCTATACATATGAGAATTACTTCTCAAGTCTATCAACAAATAATCATAAAAAAAAAAACCAGAAATTATCCTCAATAAAAATAATAAGTCTTTTTTCCTTTTCTAATTCAAAGATCATTTAAGAGAAGAAAAAAGAACAAGAAACAATGGTGGACTTGGCTCACCTTGATGATCTGCTTCTCTTGCGATTCGCGGTATTAGTAATCTCTGCGTTAGCTTTCTCCATCTCTTCAATCTCCTTGACTCCTAACTTAACGAATTCTTCAACCACTGTATTCATAAAGCTAGTCACATCAGTCCTAAACTTCTTAGAACCGCTCTGGCTAGTTTCTTCGATATCTTGAACTCCGCCTTTAACCATCGATGCAACAGGAGCTCCATCTTTATAAGCATTGCACGCTTTCACTATGTCGAGTGCCCGCATAAAGTAATGGCTACGAACAAACTCTTCAAAATGCTGCACACATTCATCACAAAACAAATTTTATATAACCCCCCAAATTGCAAGAAACCCGCGAAAAAAAAATACGATTTTATATACCTTTGGTGGTTTTTTCATGCTGTAAACCATCGTCCTTAATGACAAAATGAAGACGTTCTCACTGTAAGCTTTGGAATGAGCTTCCCCTGAACGAGTCCCCTGGCTCCCCTCGTAGCCAGGCTCGTTAAAGTATGGTTTTTGGTTCAAGATGAGTGCTTGGATTGAGAAGAGAAGCTGTAACATTGTCGACTCTTTTGGGAGCCATTTCTCCCTAGACCTACCGGACCAGGTACCGAGAAGACTCAAGCATACTTTACCACACTTGTATAGATTCGGGTTGATTCTAAGCCCGCCCGAATGGTAATAAACTTTCTGTTAACAACAAACCGAATTTCTAGAGTCATATGGTTCCGAAGGAG